TATTCTTATCGATTTTTTATCGCTTTTGTTAGCGACATCATTGTAGATTTTGTTATCAAAATTTTTTTTCTATAGATTTTGTTATCGATATTTTTGACGATTTTGTTGTCGATGTTTGGTTCGATTTTGTTATAAATATTTTTATCGCACACAACTCAAAATTACACGTTTGTCAGGAAATGCGAAAAACTATTTCTCAGCAAATGCTAATCATATGAGCAAGGGAGAATTTACTATAGGTTTTTTCAACAAAATATAATAACAATTTGCTCCAAGTTTTGCTGATAGGTTAATAAAAGCTCTATGTCCAATTTTAGCGCATAATTTAAAATATGCCAAACTTAGAATTTTGTCATTTTTGAAGATAGTGTGCGATATACATATATGGTTAGATGCAACGTAAGTTTCGCTTTTCCAGTGTGGCCCAGATGCATTCATTTTTTTTAGACTTTCTCACGATGTGGTTGTTTGTCGCATTCAATAAACATTCCTCAAAATAAATATTTAAAACACATCAAATTTTATTATAGTCGTGCGTAATTACTAAGTATTTTACTGCGCTATCCTAGAAGTCTGCTGTCACAGATTTGTGTATGTACATACATACATTTCACTGGTAGCGCCACAACAAAATAACCATTTCTTACACTAAGAGAAATTAATGCACTACGATTTAAAATTGTATCGATTACTACAATATGTAAGTGATCAAATACTTAAATGCGTATGCTTAACACTTAATGCATGTTTGTATAAATTAACTCGACATAGCCTTATGTAAGTGACGGCGGTGATGTGTATTATCCCGCATAACGGTATTTATTGCTAGCTTTCAGATCCATTTGTATCGCTTTTGTGCGTTGCGTGCCATCTTTGCTAAAGCACATCAATTTTTTCAACATCTCAAAAGATGAAGTTTTCAATTGGCTCAAGCGCAATGGTATCCACAAAGCCAAGAAGAATAGCACAAGCGCGCAACCAAATACATCCAACAACAAATACTGATAGAGCGGCATAAAAGCGCCATGTGATTTCAAATGTGACCCGCCTTTGTGTCCGGCCACGTACTCGATCCAGAAGGAGGCTTCGTCCAGTGGATCGACAAGATTGTCACGGAACCTTCTAGACATATCCGTTGCTTTCTGCTTATAGGTGGGATCGTTGATAAGCAATCTGAGATTATGTACCAGATCTTCACTGGTCATTTTGCCGAAATGCGCATAGCCGGCCTGCACCGAACGCATTGAGTTGCGATGTTGGTCCCCATAGAAGGGTATGTACAGCATTGGTACGCCCCAATGAATGGCCTCCTGAGTGCCGAAAATGCCACCGTGTGTAATAAAGACTTTCACATTCGGATGAGCGAGAATGTCGTTTTGAGGTAACCAACTTTGGATTTTCACATTCGGCGGCAGATGACCAATTGACGAATTTTCGAATTTCCACAACACATTCTGCTTGAGTTGGCTAAAGGCATTCAGTATGACATTGACCTTTTCCAGCGGCATATCTGTGCTCTTCATGTAGGAGCCGACGCTGAAGTAGATCACACCGTGCGTCGAGTTATCTAAGAAGTTCTGTAGATCATCGGGCAAAGGCTTGGCTGGCTTGATATGCACACCAGCCACATCGATTAGACCAGGCATGCTGGGGCGTGGCACATCCGTGCTGCGATGACTGTTGATCAACATTAGCGAAATATTTTTCTCCAACGTGCTGACATGCGGCAGTGGACCTAGAATAGAGAAGTAAAGTCCGCATTAATAACACCACAACTCTTGGAAGTACATCCAATCTTAACTTACCATCGATGTGGCCGCTGAAGTGCCGCTCAGCCATCTCTTGCATTTGTGGCAGATAATACCAGCGTCTCAATGCAGCATCGTACAGCGACAAATATGCGTTATATGCACGTTGCAGAAATGACATTTGATCCGTGTAGGAGACCAGCAAATGTGGCACGATAGCCCATGGTGTTAGCAGACCCATAGAGTGATCCATATTATCCGCATAACCCATGGTGCCCAATGTAACAGCGGGACACTTGAACTTATGCGCAAACATTAGGAAACTCTCGTGATAGAATTGTTCCAACACAATCAGATCGAATTCCAAATGCTTGCTGGCGATCAGCGATTTTACTTTTGGATTGTTGAGCGCATGTTTCGAACTAAGCAAACCGACATGCCAATACATTTGCAAGTTTTCGAAATCACTTGTAAATTGCATTTTAAAAATATTCTCACGTGGACATGAAGAGAAAACAAGGTATGGAGGTAATGATTTAGGTATAGATGTATGTAGATCAATACTAATATCAATGGTACAGTAATTTTCTTCAGATTTACTCACGGTGTTCGGCAATATTCAGCTTGGGATCGATAATGATATCCGTTAAGTTTGGATGTGTTTGCTTGGCGGGATGATTGGTCAGCGTAGTGACTTGGTGTCCGCGCCGCAGCAAATCTTTCAAAAAATGTTCCGTCCACATCCAATGGCTGGGAGCGGGGAATGGTCCCATAAACAAAATTCTGTAACTCGAACATGTTAGCGGCGCCAGCAGTGCCGTGACAACGAGAAGTAACCATTGCAGTTGCATCTGAAAGAATTAAAGGTGGCATATATGTATTAATCAATGCAAACCCAAGATTGAAAGAGTGTAAATTTTACAATTAATTTGGAGAGGAAAACAGTTGGCAAGAGAATTTAGAATCGATATATGTACGAGTATTTTTATACCCGAGCGCACTTGTGCACAAGGGTATAATAATTTTATTCACATAACGGTTGTTTGTAACAGCCAAAACGAATCGAGATAGATATAGACAAATGTATACATAAATGCTCAGAATTAATAGAGAAATCGATTAAGCCATGTCTGTCTGTCCGTCCGTCCGTGTATACGATAACTCGAGCAAAAAATTAGATATCTCAATGAAATTTGGTATGTAGGTTTCCGTTAATCCAAGGTAGGTTGGTATTGAAAATGGGCGAAATCGGACTGTAACCACGCCCACTTCCGATATAATGGTAATTTCCAGAAATACGAAAACTGCGATATTTTAGTAACTACTGAAGATAATTCACTCAAAATTGATATTTACAATAATTTTCAGACGAAAAATAAGAATATTACACATTTTTGGAAAATGGTCGTAGCCACTGCACCAATTCTTCCAAACTTGGCATAGTTGTTGGCCATGATACAGCATACTAAACGGCCAAAAATTTAAAAAATCGGACAATAACCACGCCCACATCCCATATAACGGTAATTTTCGGAAATACGAAAACTGCGATATTTTAGTAACTACTGAAGATTATTCACTCAAAATTGATATTTACAACAGTTTTTAGACGAAAAATAAGAAGATTATAAATTTTTGGAAAATGGGCGTAGCCACGCCCACTTATGGTTATATGTGCATATCTTGGTAACCGCTGTACCAATTTCTTCCAAACTTGGCACAGTTATTGGCCATGATACAGCATACCAAATGGCCGAAAATTTTTAAAATTGGACAATAACCCCGCCCACATCCCTTATAACGGTAATTTAGATAAATACAGAATCTTCGATTAATCAGTAAATATTAAAGCTAATTTATTAAAAATTTACGCTTGCAACAATTCTTTACCAAGAAATACGTTTATGGTAAAATTTCGGAAAATGGGCGTGACACCGCCCACTTATGATCACATATATGTATATCGGTAACCGTTCTACTAATTTCTACCAAACTCGGTATGGTTATTGTGCTAGCCATATAAAAGCAAAAGGTTAAAAACTATTGAAATCGAACTAAAATTACGGCCGCTTTTCATATAACGGTAAATTTCAGAAATGCTTGAAACTGCAATATTTCGAAATTGAAGGACGCTAATGTACTCAAAATTTATACACCCCGGCTTACCATCTAGCGGTAGCTTTCGGAAAGGTGAAAAAACATATATTTAATACTTGCGCCGGGTATTTAATGTTCGGCTCCACCCGAACTTAGACTTTCTTACTTGTTCTACATAATAATGTTATCTAAATCTTAGTACCAATCTCAAACTCAATCCTAGTGTTAACCTTAATATTAATCCTGATCTTAATCTTAATCTAGTTCTTAATTTTGATCTTAATGTTAATCTAAATCTTAATCTTAAGGGTAATCGTAATCCAAATCTTAAAATTAATCTTAATTTTAATCTTATTCATTCCTAATCTTAGTCTTAATTTTTATCTTAATCTTAGACTTAATGTTAACATTAATCTTCTTAATCTTATCTTTATTCTTAATCTTGATCTTAATCCTAATCTTAATCTTAAGCTTCTGCTAATATTAACCTTAATCTTAATCCTATTCTTATTCTTAAGAAGAAGCTTAATCGCAATCGTAATCTTAATATTAATCTTAATTTAAAACTTAAACTTCATCTTAATCTTAATCCTAATCTTAATATTAATATTAAGCTAAATCCTTATCTTAATCTTAACCTTAACCTTATTCTTAATCTTATTCTTAATCTTATTCTTTATCTTAATCTTAATCTTAATCTTAATCTTAACCTTAATCTTAATCTTAATCTTTATCTTAATCTTAAGCTTAATCGTAATTATAGTCTTAATAGAAATCTTAATCTTAGTTTCAATCTAAATCTTCATCGTACTAGTTTCATTGCAGTTTGGAATTGGAGCCCAACGAGTGCGTCGCTTTTTCGTTACATCGATGTTTGCATTTGCACCCAAGCGAACGCAAAGAAGTCTCACTTGAAAAACTAAACAGAAGCTACTCTATGAGCCCAATTTTTCAGCGAAATATTTCAATTAAATAATTACACCATATCATAGCAAAGTGGCAGATTGTTCGTAAATTCCCACTTTTGTATTTATCTGTGGCTTCCCTGCAGGAAATGTATCTAACTATAAGCTAACTTTAAGTTGATTAGGAAGGAGCTAAAAGTCTCTATTATCCATATATATTTTCTTTGACGAAAGCAAACTATATTTCTATAGCGATGGCCGCGAAATAGTCAAGGGTGGTTACCTGTGCATTTGATGTAACTAACTCGTAACTAACTACTTTTGGACATAAAATATCAGTACGAAAAACAAAATATTTTTTATTTTATTTTTTTATTTTATTACATTTCATATTTGTTTACATATTCTGTTGTAGGTGGTCCCATATTCGAACTCCGTCAGACATAACTTCAAGATGATAAAATTAAATTTGGATCTTCCCTCTATTTGTCCTCAATTCGAAAAAGTATTTGCGAAGTGCAGGATATTTAAGTAGAAACGCGTTTAAAGAAATTAATCTCCTGCATTACTTGTCAACTAGTTTGAAGTTAGCTTTTTGTAACTAACTAGAAGTTATATATTTTGTATAAATCCCAAAAAAGCTAACTACAAGTGGCTTACTTTTTATCAATTGATAGTTTTTTTCTTCAGGGTTACTAATGAGAATCGTATCTGCTTTAATCGGGAATTCGAGTAAAAGTAATAAGAAAAAAGTAACTTTAAAACTGACAGTTCACAAGTGATTCGCTCGAAATTTGATTACAATTTTAGCAGCTAGCTAATTGAATACTTTAAGATTACAAAATGAGTAGCAATTAATTTAAAAAACTAAATGCCTAACTATTTGAAAAATTGATTACACATGAGCCCTTAGAAATACTAAACTGATTAGAGCTGTACATGGGCAATAAAAAAACACATCTGTCGTCACACGCTCAATAAAAAATCAAATGTTATCAGCACAAGTAAGAATAAAAGAAAAAACAAAAAAAAAAACAAATTGTAATTTTGGCTAATTTATTTCCTCTTGCGAGAATCAACTTTCTATATCGCTTTTGATTTGACGGCACGCAGCCAGCGAATGTCTGCCAATATAATAATCGCTGTGAAACTGCCGTAAAAAATGGCAAATGCTAGAAAAATTTGCATGGTTACAATGAAAGAATTTTAGGGGATCACAAAATATTTTGTTAGCGTGTGCAAGTACATATATGCGTACGCATAAAGTTGTAATTAT